GATGGCCTCCACCCTAGTAGCGATGGCCTCCACGCTAGTAGCGATGGTCTCCATCCTGCTCCAACCTAAGAGCGATGCCCTCCAGTCCCACCTATGAAGACCAAGCCTGGGATGTCACACTGGAAGCGTTCTTGCGCTCAAGGTTCCAAAGCCGGAAAGGAACATTTTTACATGTCCCCTACAAGCAGGATCACGCTCGTTGGGACGGTGAACCATGAACCTTGGACCATACCCAAAGCAATCACCCAGATTTGTGCATTTGAAATTTGACAGGTTGCTCGGGTCATTTTTCGGAGGTAGAGCACGCTTTCATTTCCGGCTGGTCGGCCGAGGCCTAGGTGTGTGAGAGGGCCTGAGTAATGGAGCCAAGCCATACAGCGAGGTAAGATTTTAAGCTCTCAAGTTCCAAAAGTTTGCGGCAAACTCTGAACGTGAAGTGGGTGCACATTTTTCGACCTACTTCCACCTGCAACAGCCTGGTTCAACTGGAGAGAAGGTTTACAAATGTACAAGAATCACACAAGAAGCAAGCCAATCCTCTCCAGTCAAGGGGGTACCTTCAACGCTCAAAAGTGAAGATGTGAAACCGACTTGCATGGTGATTGCCAGACTGCGCCTGACCTGAGGCGAAAATGCCGTCTGGCCTCCACTGCACTTATCCGAGTTGATGCAGAAGCGCCGCCGGGACCTGACAGAGCAAGGGTACGAAGTTGGATGACAACATGCTGTTTCTTCACCGAACTGAGAGACAGCCATGGCCACCAGCCACACCACCGTTAGACCCTTTTTGGCGCGACCGTTTCGGCCCGGAGGAGCGGTCCGAGTGGAGGCGAAAACGAGGCGAACCGAGGCGAACCGAGAGTCGCTGCTTTTCGAGCCCGGTGCCAGCGATGCCAGCGATGGCGGTCAAGTTCGTCCTCTATTTGTATCACAGGGCTCAAGATGCTTGGTCAAGCCACGCGAGGCCTTGAAGAAAAGAGGCGAGTCCAGGGAGAGTTGAATTAGTGAATTCTAGGGGAATGAGGAACCTAAAGCTACTAGTTACTAGCGATGGCCTCCACCCTAGCAGCGATGGCCTCCAACTGAATCTGAAGAGTTCTTGCAATGCGTTCCGTGTTTTGAGGTTGCTTTCCGCTGTAGGTCCTGACAATCGTGGTGCCTCCGCGGACGTCTTGCCCAAGGAAACCTGTACGACACCGTTTGTATGACACCGTCATGCCGCCATGCCACACCATTTCTTTAGGAAGCGTCACCTCCGAAGCATCTTAAAACATCTTAAAACTGTGCTAGCCATTCACTCCGGGTTGCCTTGTGGCGAGCCATGGGAAGTGGAAGTTCTGTAAATGACAAAGAGGGCGAGAACACTCCGGTCTCTGTGGGGAAGCAGCTTTGCAGTTCGGCCATTAAAGGCGGGAAAGTCTTCAGATCCGCTACTAGGAACAAGTGCCTTACTAGTAGTAACAAGAAGCTATTGGAAACAGGTGCCACGCTACTTATTGATGAAGGCCATCGCTACTAGGTTGGAGGCCATCACTACAATGGTGGAGGCCATTGCTAGGTGTCCTGAGACCATTGCCTCGGAAGCCGGTGAGGTGCACACACTCGAGCGGAGGAAGAACAGGCATTGCGAGAAGCATTTATGACCTTCGATCGAGACGCTTGGGGCACAAGATCGGCTTGGCCCGGTGCAGCCCATTTGATTGCCCACTTTCCGGTCTTCCAAGGACGGGAACGGAGAAATCAGCAAGACCGAGCCTCTTGGCCTTCATTTCGTGGGCAGGTGGAGGCCATCGCTACTAGGAAGAGTCGAAGCTACTAGCAAGAAAGGGCATCGCTACGAACGGAGCGATCGGACGCAACCGAACGGGGCGCTCCTGGCCTTAATACGTTCGTAACGCTAGCAACAAGAAGCTACTAGTCCCAAGGCTCAACTCAAGTCGCCAAGAATGACCAAAGCTTGGACAGTTTGACCGACTGACGAGGTTCACGAAGGTGATGACGCATCTGACCCAGTTCAACAAGAAGTTTCTCGGCGGTGAGGAGGTGAAGAGATGAAAAGCAGCAACTCATGCCACACGTCTCCTGAATCAGGTTTAGTGAGCAGCAACTCGAAACCTTGTTTGATGCAGCTGACACAGACAAGGCCGGATCTCAATTTGCAAGAAGTTGCGAGTTGAACTGTGCTCAAGCCACTCCAAACATACAAGTAAATTTGCACAATTCAGGTGTTGCGTTTGACTTGGTGTATTTACGGAAAGCTGTCAGGATGGTGCAATTCAATACGAGGAACTCTGCAGCTGGCTTTGCGACACTCCATGCTTCTCGAGGTGTCCTGCAGCATTGTACAGGACTTTGGAGGCCTTGGAGGCCATCGCTCTTTGTTTCCAGCTCAGGTATTTCCAAGAACTGGACAAGATCGAGAAGGAGTACCATCGGAGGCTCCATACTACAACGAAGGGAGATGCCTCAGTCATGAGAGAGGAGGATTCTTCTGAGTGGATGGCGAGTCTCGTCAGAGTTTTGGTAGAGTGGAACAGTTCTGTAAGTCTATAAGTGCATTGAAGAAGTAGGAAATCTATGAGGCATTGCGACCAAGCCATAACAAGCTGTAACTGCTTGCACGACCGCTTTCAAGTCTTGCTAGGATCCTTTGTTTGTTGCTCTGTATTAGGAAGCAGTTTGACAAGCGCTTGCGGCCAATCGTGAAGCCTGGCTTTTTGTGGCACTGAGAGAGCTTGTGATTCAGAGCTTTCGTTCTTTGTTAGAGTTCACCTTGCTCGCCCGTGTGATTAATTATGCCTTTAAGTAGTGCGTGTGCATCACTTCTGTTGAGTTTGGAGGACGAATTGGAGCTGACATTCAGTCATTGGTTTGATCCAGAATGGGGTACCAAAGCACCTGTCAGGGAAGTGTTCAACTCCGCGGACAAGGACAAGAATGGTGTATTGACAGAAGAAGAGAGCATTCTACTGTTCAAGCTGCTTGGTTTGCAATGTGGGTGGCCATTGGCTTGCTGTTTGTGCCAACCAAAAAGAAACATGTCTTCCAGGAACTATGCAGAAAAGCTTATCAGCTACGCGATGAGCATCATGCAGGCGCGTCCGACCGCGTCCGGACTCGGAGCGATGGCCCGAGATGCTCCGTTCGTCACGTCCTTGTTCCGTTCGATGTGTCTGAAAGCCGGCGTTTTCTCGCGCCAGACGGAAAAGAGCCACTGGATTCACGAAAACCATTGGCTAGACAAAAAGTCTCTGAAGCAGCTTGTGCCACTTGGACTGGTCAAGGTTTGGAGACTCCGCAGGGAACACACCGTACGTCATACGTCGGTACATGCCGTAGTACATGCGGCTGAGGCCGTCGATGAAGGCTGTGGCACAAAAACAGCTCCTTTCCTGCAAAGGCCGTCGATGAGGCTGAATTGCACTTGCTACAGCAGCGCAATTGCTTTAGGCATGTTAGACTCAGACTGAAAGTGATGATAACCGATGTTGTTGCGGGGTGATGGTGATGGGGTTCAATGTGTCTCAGCGACTTTCTATCGGAACATGTTGCGGTTGTCGAGTTGACAAGGTTGGCAAGCTACGAATCGCACGTGGACGACCGGAATGAAGAAGCGTTTAAGGCACCGATATGGTCAGCAGGACCTACTTGCTAAGAGAAAACATCCATATATGTGCCTTATGTGGGCACTTGAGCTCACGACCGGTGCGAAGGTCATGGACCGGAATCACGACGGCAAATTAGTTTTCGAAGAGGCACAAAATCAGTGAGTGGCCGTGATCAGTGCATCTCAGGACAAAATTAGCAACAAAACCAACAGCTTTGCAGTGCAGAAACCCAAAAAATACAGAAGGAGCGCCTGCAAATACAATGGCCAAGTGCTAAAGAAGGAAAACTCTTTGGACGTGTGCAGGTGGAACAATGCCTCACACCGGGGACATACCGGTACAGGGAGTTCCACAAGGCATTGAGACTTTTTACGCCTGAAGCATTCAAGGACCAGCCCTGCTCCGACGAGTGTTGGTCGGACCACGCGTTCCGACGAGTCTTGGTCGCACCGCGTCGTTCGCAGGAAACCTTCGATGCTATGGCGACAGAGTCGGGTGACAGGGCCAGACGCAAATCAGATCCACAGATTCAATTGCTGGTGGCCCAAGGTGATTAGCATGAGATTAGTCATGAGATTTAGTCATAGAGCCTTTTCGCAAATGCGAGGCGTGAGAGCGCATAGGGATGCGATCTGTGTTGCTCATGTTTACAGATATGGCAAGAGGTGTTTCGCAGAACTGCGCAACACTCCAAGATGTGACGATGAGCAGCCTGTGGTTGGAAACAGGCCAAAGACTTTCGTTGTACAGGAAAGGTTCAGAAGAAGGAGTCACCGTCAAGGTGTTCAAGTTGCGTGCGCAATGATGCAAAACCAGGAGCCAACCAGGAGCCGTACATGTATGTAACCTGATTCCTGCAAATGAGTGCACTCTGAAAGTGATTTGATGATGCGATCGCACAGTCGACTCTCCCTGTGACAAGTTGACTGGAACTCAACTGGAGTTCCGAATCACATGGCATGGCATGAGACATGATACAGTCATGATACAATTCTAGTGCCCACCCGTCCTGTACAATTCTGGTTCTGTTCGTGTTTGCTTTGGAAATATGTAAACTCAGAGAGGTGGGGTTTTCGCATCTCTGAGTCATGGGAAACGCTGCTGCCTGCAGATGCAACTGTGATTGTGAGCGCCAGTGGCTGAGACCTATTCTGAAAAAGAAGAAACTGCTGCAAACTTCCCGATGAAAACAGGCCATCACTACGTAGCTTGGAGGCCATTGCTAGGGTGGCATGGAGCCGATGGGGGTGTTGCTTAGGTCGATGTACTCGCTTCATTGCATCTGTTTGTATGGCCGGGTGCCTTTGCATTGGCACCTTGGGCCAATGGCGGGCAGAACGACCAGAAGTGCCCAAGTGCATGGCCTTCTCGTTTAGAGTGTTTGATGGGCACAACGGACTGTTTTGCAATCAGTGGATGGTTGACTCATGTCGACTCGTTGAAGGCAAGAACGGGGGGCGCTCTTTTGGTTGGAGGCCATCGCTAATAGGTCGGAGGCCATCACTTCTGCTATTAGGTCGGAGGCCATCGCTCCTAGGTTTGAGGCCATTGCTTAGTAGGTTGGAGGCCATTGATATTAGGTTTCCTGGCTAGGCCATCGCTATTAGGATGGAAGCCATGGCTAATGCCAGCGTCGCGTACCTCGCGGAGCTGAGGCGTTTACCTATGCATTCCTTACGCGACTTCGAACCCATATACCGTTGGCACACCACAATGTGACGAGGCCTTGGAAGTTCAGCGGTCAAATGAGAGCGGTGGATTTTTTCCGAGTCCGTCCGTCGACTCCACTCATGGGCCGAACGCTTGGTTCGAACGCAGTTTCAACCACATCGAACGCTGATTGGAACCGCTAGTTTCTTGGGGGTGGGGGTGGGGCAGTGATCTCACCATATCCCCCAAAGTTCAAACACACCTCGTGGACCCCTCGGACCTTGCCGATCCAGCAGCTCAACTGCGTTCAGTTGGTTGAAGGGTTCCGCCGCGGTTCATCCTGGGACCTAGAAGCATCAATGCCCCACTAGCTGAAACGACTCCACTCTGGGGAGGTCAGAACACAGGACATGACAGCATGACAGCACAGTGAGAGAAAATCACGGCTGTTCCCGTTTGATGTGGGGAGCAGTTCATTTTTGCACACAAGTTTGAAGAGGGCACAGATGCTTCTAGGTTGGAGGCCATCGCTATTAGGTTGGAGGCCATCTCTAGTAGTTTGAAGAGGGCACAGATTGTTGAAGAAGAGGTGTGTGGGTGCTATTCCTCCAGGTGTCGTGGGCAGCTGCGTTTCCCGGAATTGTTGCTGGACTTTCTTGCTGTTGGTGCTGCGTTTTTCATGCTGGCAGCAGCTTGGTGGAAGGGGTGTGGGCGAAGCATCTTGAAATTACTTGTGAGGAGTGATGTGTGTGTCAGGACGTAGGCTGGCGGAAACAGCGTGCAAAAGTGTCCGGGCTGGCGGAAAAGGGTTCGGCATCGTAGAAATGGGCCAACAAGAAGAGGCGAGCTCCTAGTAGCGGCCTTGCTCCTAGTAGCGAGCCCAGGAGACCCTAGCCAGGGCAGGTCACAGACGTTTTTTTTCACTTGGCCCTTGGCTGAGGAGAGGCACCGGTTCCGACCGCAATAGGGGGGTCTTGCCTCACCTTCACTGGTCTATTCATATGTTCCATTTGCTTGCTGCAGCTTGGCCGCACAATTCTGCAATGCTGGGGCCCAACGTTGGTTTCTGAAAGGAGAATGACATCACACCTGCCGATGCTCAGGATTTTAAGCGGCAATTGTGAGAATCTGGACCAGCAGTTTGTGATCTCCATGTCTTTGCTGGTGGTGGTGCCGATGTCCTGCCTTTGTTGTGTCTTGGTGTGATTGATGGTCGTATTTGGTCGTCTTGGTCATGTGGGAGTTCGACCATGCTTCGTCTCCCAGGCTGTGCATGGTCTTCCGCTTGCACGACTTGCCTCGAGAACTGCTCGAGAGAAAGACCAGAGAGACCAGATCCACCTCCGACGGCTCCCAGACGACGGCACACGCCCCGTGTGCGTCGGGCGCAACGTATGCTGCGCCTGGACAACCAAGACTTGAAACCAAACGCATCACCGGTTGTCATCAAGGATACTCAAAGGGGGTTGTCATCTCAGTTGTTCGACGGTTTGGACATGTTCGAGGAGAGAAGCACTGATCTTGGGAGACGGATCTATTGCTGACTTGCTTTTGGACTTCCGCGAGCGACGCTTTCATGGTTTGTGCTGACCCTAGCGGCTGTTGTGGGGGAAGGTCTGGTTGGCTAGTTTTTTTTTTGCACTTGAGCTAGTAGCAAGATGTAGCAAGGATGCAGAAGTGCTCAGATTCTTGCGGAGATTCCCTGTTTTGGGGAGAAAGATTGAGAAAGAGTGGGCAGACAGGACGGTTGAAAAAGAGTTCCTAGACTCTTCTAGACTCCTAGACGTTTAGGAAAGAACATGAAAGAACTGAACTGAACAGAAAGGTGGCGGATGTACAGATGCATCTTCATGACCTTCATGCACTGCCAGCTGCGCTGCTCTTGCTGTGCAGGCGGGGACTGCGAAATGTAACAGTTGCTGCGGATCCTGCCGGACAGCTTCCTGTGCACCTGTCAGGAGTTCCTGAAGATGAATCGCCGACCTCTCCTGTTTCAGATCGAGGATATACAATCAAGCAAAACTGAGTGAAAGCCCAACGAACTTACAAAGACTTCAAGAAGACACTCACTTTGGTAAAGCTGATGGGAAATGGTTGATCAATGTTCCCTGCATGTTTGTCCCTGAGTGCCACAAACAATTTTCCGTTTGTTAGGACACACGTCACTTTCTCCAACATCACGAACTTCCATAAGCCGAGCCTCACTCTTTTTCAGCATCCTGGCAATCTACTTTGGTGCAAGGTTTTGCGCGTTGACTTGAGCTCGAGCGAAGCGAAGTCGGAGTTGTTCCACGTCGAAACTCACAATTCAAAAGAGCAGCTACCGGCTAGGCAGTTGCAGCTACTAGCGTGCGCTGTTTGAAGAGGTTACTGCGAAGCAGTGGTCGTTGATGCAGGTTACGAGGATGAGGATGCCGGGGAAATGGCCATCCACTATTTGGCTCGTGGAGAGAGGTTTGGAGAAGGCCGTCGTTTCACTCTGCTTGCACCGCCGCAGGAGTTGGGGAGCTCCCGCACCCAAGACCTCATGACCTAGACCTGAACCTATCAGATCCACCTTATCTACCTCATAGCGGCCTCCAACCTGCGGCAAATGGACTACACGTATTTTTCGAGTTTGTCATGAAAAGGGGTGCGGACTTTCAGTTGTTTCAATGACACAACATATTCAGAGTGTCATGTGTTGCCTATTGCATATGTCTGAATCTGTTTTCCTTGGCTTCGTTGGTTTTACATACAGTCTATATATATAAAATCGTGGACTATCCTCGGCCTCAGACCCGTTCAATGTTTGAACCACACACGTGAGTTGGTGGGGCTGCGTGGAATCAACCATTGGCATCCCTCTTATAATATATATATATATATCAACTCACACATGTGCACGCACCACAAAAACACATCGCTGGCCTTGGAAACCGGGACGTGGTTCATACTAGCGGCTAGCGATGGCCTCCATCCTAGTAGCGATGGCCTCCAACCAAAGGGAGCTCCCAAACCCAAGACCTCAAGACCTACCCTCAATCTATCCCTTTGTTTGTTCCTGGCTGCTCTTGGCAACGGACCATCCCTATAATTGATGTCTCTGTTTGGCAATAATGTCCGATAAGGCTGTTGAAAACGGGCCTGGAAGACAATGTTTTTCTGTACAAACAGATGGCCGTCCACTTCCATGTGAATGACGTAGAGGGTTATCCTGACAAAATCCATGCGCTCGAAACACGTGCTGATTTTTTTGTGCCTCGTTGCTTCTACTTTACGTCATGTTTGATTTGCCGTCGCTGGTCATTTCCCCAGCTAGTGTTGCTCCACCTATGCCTCAAGTTTTGTGAGGCGGAGAGTTTGCAGGTTTTGAAATGTTAAAACCAATCAGTTGACTGCAATCGAGAGAGTTCCAGTAGTGGAAATTCATCGCGGTATTTATTCGTAGCAAGTGAAGAAGAGCCCCCCGCTTTGAAGTTGTTTAGGCAACGAGCATTCTTGCGAGGCATTCCGAATTTGGCACACGTTCAAAATGCATTGCAAGATATTGCAAGCACTTACTTCCCGCAGGCACAGGAGGTGCTTCTGCTGCAGCGCAGCGCTGTTTGAGCTGGGGTGGTCAGAGACGAACTCTGCCGGAGAGGGATCTGGGAATTTAACTGCAGGAAGTATTTACCTGAAAAAACTTGCATGGATTCAAAATGAGGTCCTTTCAATTCACCTTTGTTTCGTATTGTTTTTCAGTCCTTGAAACGAACTGGCTCTTTGTGCGGCATAGGAGCTCACTGATGAACGGCGCGCTCGGTTGCTGCGGGAGTTGCTCGGAAGTGGCCGGCTGCCCTTTGGACAGACACTTGGATGCGCTCGTTGCAGCTCCGAAATGAGAAGATCAAAGTGCTCATCGTTTCCCAAAGTCTTCAAGTAGATTGTGATATATATATATATATAACTATTATAAATGTTACGTAAATATGTATCTATAATATTATATGTATTATAGCGTTTATTATAGCAATATTGATGGTATATGGTAAGTATGTTTGGGGATTTGGGCTCAAGTCTTGCTTGACGTTTTGAACGGCAAGATGATTCTCTTTAGGCTCTACGTGGTCAACGCCTTCGGACAAACTCCACTGCACTGCGCTGCCAGCTCGGGTTCCTCTGCAGTGGTCCAGGAGAAACAGCATCCAACAGGTGATGTGTCACTCCATCAATGCATAAAGTCACTAGGCGCCATGGATGGAAGGAATCTAACATACTCCAACTGTCTCTTTGGCATGTTGCTGGATCATGCTTGATCACCATAAATAAATTTGATGGGGCCCGTGAAGGGGCATGACTAAGTAGCCAGCGGTCAGGAAGTGCAAATATTGCTCCGAAGTCAGTCTGCTGCACTTGGAGCTGTCGAACACGTGGAAGAGGCTCCTCTGAAATCAAATCATCACATCATCTGGATCTGGGATCTCAAATGTCAATCAATGTGATGCTTTGTGTCCACTTTGGTCCAGAAAAGACGGCGATCATCTCACTGCGTCTCAGCGCTTCGTGCTGGCTTTTTCTGGAGGCAGTCGAGGAGGCGTTGTGGGCGGAAGATGCCCATGGAGATTCACCTTGCGAGGCGGCTCCGGTGGTGTCAGAGCTCGGATGTTGAACCAAAATTGCTTGATCTCACATGATCTGGTGCCTCAACTGGCTGGAGTCGACTCTTACTGAATCTATCTATATATAGTTCCAACACATTCCAATTGCTTTCGTTTTGGAATCAAGGAGGGTGGTACAGAACAGGCTGGGACTGAATGAGGGTTTGCCAGGTTGCTTTGAGGAGCGGCCATGTGACTTGTGCCAGCCTTTTGGCCGGCGAGTGGGGCAAATGGCAGGGTTTATTGCCACTTGGCCTCCAACATCCTCCAACCTAATAGCAATGGCCTCCACCCTAGTAGTGATGGCCTTCAACCTAATAGTGATGGCTTTGCAGCTAATTTGCATGAGTCCTTAGTTGCAAACAACATGAGTTGCGGATTCAATGTCCTCAAACCTCAGGAAGGTCCCTGCGACGCGGCAAGCACTGCGTGAATGTTTGGCCGGAGCACTCGGTCAAATGAGCCCAGCACCGAACCTTGTCCTGACCATCCCAGAGTGAAGCGCAAGAACTCGGAACACAAAAGCGTTTGTTCCTACTAGCTTCTTGTTACTACTAGTGTGAATTTCACCGATTGTAGCCAGGGTGTATTGCGTACAGTTGATGCACCATCGCTGCTATTTGGCTGAACAGGCGCCTTGAGTCGATTCGCTGCTGCGAAAAGGAACCGTGCGAGAATCAAACTGGTAGCGGAGCAGGTTCTGAAGGGGCACCCTCAGGATCTGACTCACCCGGGGAGACTCGCTGGATCCAACCGTTGAACCCAATTGCGTGACCCTGCGCGCAATCCGTTGAACCCGTTGAACCGTTGTAATTCCAGTGCTTTGCGAAACTTTGTTGAGTTGCGATGTCGCTGGCTGGCCTGCGGTACAAATCCCATGGAGGAAGTATCTCAGGACCGCAGGAGACGAAGAGCGGATCATATATCTACAGTGGCAATCCAAATGGTTTCTTCGAATGGGAGTTTCGCACCGAGGTCCGCGTTGCTTTGTACAAGCAGAAACATGCGAAGAAGAAGTCAGAGAAGACCTATTCGAGCTATGGAAGCCAATCAGCCACACCAGAACGTTCTCAGAGGAGGCCGACTCATGCGACCGAGGCTGAGGATGTATCAGAAGATGAGGACGTACGATTTGAAGCCTTTGGAACCCCGAAGACTGTGATCGTAGAAGACGAAGAAGAACCAGCTCTGAGCACTGCCGGACTGGACGATGATGGAGCAGAGTATGCAACACTTGTTCACAAAGTGTTGGAAGGCCTGCGAGGTGACGCATACCTTGCAGCTCAAGACATGGGATTGGAGAAGCTGTTGACTCCAACTGGCATCGATGAGTTGATTTCGCGTATCCGTGCACAAGTTTTTCCACTTCGACAACAAGAAGCACGTGAGTTGTTCAGAGTGGGTCAACTCCCCCATGGTCCCTTGTCTCGCCAATCGACAGAAAGCATGACTAGCTATATCTCACGAAGACGTCGTTGGTGGAGGAAGCTTTTGGAGATGGATGATGGGGTAAGTCTCTCAGACCCCATGCGTGGTGAGCTACTTCTGGAAGGCTCTGGTTTGAGCAAGACAGAACAGCTCATGATCAAGACAGCTGCAGGCGACAACCAAACTTTTGATGTCTACGCCAAATTCTTGCTTGAATTCCATGGACAGATTCACTTGCGCAGCTGGTCCGCTTTTGGCAATGCAAGCCCCCGGAGGCAGAAAGGCGGAGGCAAGTTCTCAAGCAAGTCTTCCTACGAAGGAGGAAAAGGACGCGGTTGGCAGAGATCCGCGTACATCGTTGAAGACGACTCATGGGATTATGAAGAGTCCTATGAACCAGAAGCAGAGGACGACTATGAGCATGAAGCTTATGTCGCAGCAGAAGATGAAGAACCAGAAGACGAAGAACATGAAGTTGATGGCAATGGGAGAATGTGATGATGAAGAGAATGATGTCTCAGAAGAACTGGGCAGTGCAGCTCAGCACCAGATGATGGCCTTTGTCGTGACTGACCAGTTGAAAGGCAAGAGCAAAGGCAAAGGCAAAGGATCAGGAAAGAAAGGTGGTAAAGGCAAAGGAAAAGGCAAGTATGTGTTCAGGACACAGTTGAGCGTGCAAGACAGAATCGCACGTCTAGCAAAGTTGAAGGCAGTGTCCAAATGCTTGCGTTGTGGTGGAAAAGGTCATTGGGCAGGAGACCCTGCCTGCAAGTTCCCCAAGCAGAACGACAAGTCCCCCGGAGGAACGTCGTCAACGAGCAAAGCCACAGCCTACTTCGCATTAAGTGATGATGAGTCTTCTGTTGAAGATGAGTACATGTGTGTTGATGTCAGTGGCCAGACCGCTGATAGCGGCACGTGCTACATGGCATACAAGATGTCCCCAAAGAAGAAGCTGGAGTTTGAACCGTCAGATCGTGCATCCATGTCGTCAGGAGTGACTAGCAGTCCGCCATCTAGCTTTTCGATGGTCGAGCCAAAAGTCCGTCGGTCGCCGCAAAGGTCCCCGCCGTCCATGCGTAGGAATAGAGACATGGAGCAAGACCTTTTGCCTGAAGGTTCACAGAGTGTCTTTGTGTTTGGTCAGCACCAAGGTTTGACATACCATGAAGTGTTGTTCAAGTACCCTGGATACTACCAATGGGGATCAGGCATTTCGCACCCTTCGCGTTGCTTGGCAGATTTCCTGACATGGGTGACCACATACTACGAAGTCAGTCCGAGTGGAGACGTGACCTTGAGAGAGCATCCCTTGACAGACATGCCCGAGGAGGCAGTCCGACGTGCCGGAGACAAGAGTGCAAAAGGGAAACCACCAAATCCCCCACTGGAGGTACCCTGCCGCTGTTGCACCAGATTCACGTTTCAAGGTTCAAATGCCTATGTTGAAAACAAGACATGCCTTGACTGTGGAAAGAGTGAGAAGAAGAAGAAAGAGAGCAAGCCCGTCACCGATCCCACACGGTGCAAACATGAAGTCACGGATCGGCGAGGCAGCTCAAAGACCACATCTCGTTTGTACTGCAAGTTGTGTGGAACCATTGTCGACGAGATCACCCGAGAAGAGGCGCGCAAGAGAGAGGCAATGGCAAAGAGCGTAGCAAGCATGCGTTCCAATGCATTCGACACGACTGTATCAGTGATTGAACATGAGATCAACAATTCCTGCATGACACCCGAAGGAACACTAGAGATCATGGAAATGTTCAGACAGGATGTTGAGAGTGAACTGGAGTTAGGAGAGCCCGTGAGGATTGGCGTCCTGTTTGAGATCCTTGCCAATGCCGTGGAGTGCGTCAGAGCGGCCAGTCCGCAGACTTGCTTCATGGGATTTTTGTCGGATCTCAACGAAGCCACGATCGAAAACACACTTCGTCTTGTTGACATCATGGAAGACCCTGGAGTCTGGGCTGTGTTGGACGAAGGATGTAATGCAACTGTTTGTGGACAAGCATGGATCCAAAACGCCAAAGACAAGTATGCACGTCTTGGGTATGATGTAGCGGACTTGCAGGGTGACTCAAAAGCATTTCGAGGACTCGCCGGTGACACCAAAACTTTGGGCAAGTGTCGGATTCCGTTCGCATTGACCTTTTTGGACCCCGAGACGAAACTTCCGGGAGTCATGGAAACGCACGTCGTCGATGGAAAGATTCCATTGCTTTTGTCACAGCATGCTCAAGCTGCATTGCATTTCACGAAATCCATGGGAGATGCCAAGTGCCATGTAGGCAACGAAGAGCTTGAACTGTGTAGGGCTAGGAACTCAGGACTCCTATGCGTGAACCTCTCAGAAGGTCTCAAGAGTTTGAAGTCCAAAAGACTCCCCAAGCAACTCCGTGAACTCAAGAACACAGAGTTTGGTATGAACTTCAACATCCGCCCCACCGATCAGCTCACAGCGTTCATGGCAGACGAGGAACGCCCGGCAAGAGGCACTTTCACGCTTGATGATGCTTCTTGCGTGCATATTTTGACCTGTGGAAAAGAGTTCCATGGGCAGATTGCCAGTTTCGACAGGTGCAAAAATATGGTTACCCTTGGGCCCATATTGTCAAAATTTGATCCTGGCAGGCGGCTACTTGTGGTAGATTGCATGGGATTTGGGGATCCCCAGCATAACCCGCAGCTGCGGGCCCACATAGGCAGCCACCCGGAGATCATTCGTGGCATGGTTGGAAGTGAAAAGACGATGGAAGCATTACACTACGTGCTCCATCACCTCAAGGAGAGCCACGAAAAGGGGCAGCAGTTGGCAGTTGTGGCCTATTGCAGGCGAAACCGACATAGATCGGTATCCTTTGCAACCGCATTCCAGAAGCTTTGCTCCGGATGCCACTTGACTTTGACCCACTCCAATCAGGCAGAGTCATGGAGCCAGATGAGTGGATCTTGCAAGGGCAAATGCGTGATGTGCAAGCATGAGTCACGCGATGCTTTGGAAGCAGCCATGAGGTCAAGGGACTATGTCTTGAAGCAGTTCGCCCAGAAGACCGCACCGTCGTATAACCAGGTGCGTCAAGTTGTGTTTGACTCTGAGATCGAGGCCGAGGACGAGACTGAGAGGAGGACTCAAGCCCCCGTTGACACTCGCGTGTTGCCACCACCACCGTGCCCAAAGAAGCCTCCCATCATACGCCCTGCAGTAGTGAAGGCAAGCCCAGCAAAAGCATCAGCACCTATGCCAAAAGGATCAGCCACCGTGTCCCACAGAGGACCAGGATCAGTGAGGTCAGCATCACCAGCTCCACCTGTTGCAGCTTCAACGCCAAAGGCATCGGCGCCCGAGGCACCAGCACGAGATGCAGATGAGAACCGCTACAATGAAGATGCTGAAATTCGTCGTCGTGAAAAGGCCGAGACCTCGAAGCCAGCAGAGCCAAGGAGTGAATCAGTGCCTACGAGTCAGCCTGATGTTGCAACACAGGCCTTGTTGCAGACCGTTGAATTGTTGACACAGCAAGTGAAGCAGATGCAAGAGCGTGAGAGAAGGAGATCAAGGTCAAGAGACCGATATCGGCGAGGACGATCGGACAGCAGAGAGCGCCATCGTCGAAGAAGGCGTGATGACAGCAGAGAGTATCGTCGTGGAAGAAGCCGAAGCTCATCGAGGAGGAGATCGCCATCCTTTGGTCGCATCCCAACGCCACCACAGGTGCGACCAAGGGAACCGGAAGGACCGCCACCCAGATGGCATCGCTATGGATCCGGCCGGGGAGCCAGTCGAGAGTCGGAACGGTCGACCTGGCAGGAGCGTCGATATGCAACCTCTTCAGAGCACCCGGGAGCATCGCATTTTCCAAGAGCCACGGCTGCATGGCCATCGCATCTCGAATTCCCCACGGTGGAAGGCGATGGACCGTGGAATCGCCGAGTGAACCTCGAGCACATGCCGCTTGAACTGCTTGACCGAATTTGGGATTCGGTGCCAGACATCGGGATGAAGGCATCTCGCTCAGCGCTTCGCTGGGTGGGGCCCTTTTT